AGAAGTCATGATTGGAGAAGATAAACTCATTCATTTCTCTGGAGTAGCAATGGGTAAGTGTTTTATCACTAGCAGTGTATTGTAACATTTGTGTTAACCCTCTGCTAATGCTGTTCAGTTTCCAGCGAGGCATAGGAATTCTGTAATGATTTATATAACTGTTTCTATAAAGGCCTTGCTTTTCAGTAAAAGTCCTGTACAATTCCATGGTTGAAACTGTGGATGTTTCGTTATATAAATAAACATATAATAATTTTTAAGGATGGAACCAAGGTTTCTGCTTTGGGAAATTCAGTTGACAAGAAAAGTATCAATATGTCATACTTAAGAGCTTGTTCTGGTAAATCCAGTGCTCTTAAGTTTTCAAGGAGTTTTGAGGTGATACTAATTTTCTGTTGAGTTAAATAAGGTGTTGTGGAACCAAAGCAGTAGCACTGTGCTCATAATTTTGTTCTGTCTTTGAAATGTCATCATGCTTTCTTTTGCTCCCAAAATTAAGTAATAGAGAACTTGACTGCAGCGATAGCAAAACCATGGTAAATGCTTTGTGACAGCCCATTTCTGTGTTCTGGTTTCTCCTTTTAATCCTTTTACATTTGTGCTGTCTAGGTGAAGCTTGCACCATAGTTTTGCGTGGAGCCACACAGCAGATTCTAGATGAAGCAGAAAGGTCTCTGCATGATGCTCTGTGTGTCCTGGCCCAGACTGTGAAGGACACAAGAACTGTGTATGGTGGAGGTGAATATCAGATTATTTGTACACGTCGCACATTTCCTATTACTGAAAGTTAGATATGTAACATCTGTGTGTCTTCAATGAATAGGTTGTTCAGAGATGCTGATGGCTAATGCTGTTGCAGAACTTGCTGTCAGAACACCTGGCAAAGAGTCTGTTGCAATGGAGTCCTTTGCTAAGGCTTTACGAATGGTAGGTTTATTTAATCATACTGCTGGACTAAGAGACAAAGTTCCATGAAGTTTACTAGCTTGTGACATCAGATATTTGCTTCACTTTAAAAATTCTGCGTGTCCAAAGTAAAAAAAATGAAGTTTAGCAACACAGCTTGGATAAACAAAGGGGGCAAATTGTTTTTTTGTCTTATGAAAAAAGTACTGCTGTTTTAATAATTCTGCATGTTACAGAATTGTAAATGGTCATATGCTGACCCTCCTCTAATTGTTTCTTGCTCACCTTACCTGCTAGTTAAAAGTGCTGCAGAAATAAAAATCTCATCTTGTGTAGTTGACAGCTGATTTAGAAAAGAGCAGCCCTTCTGTTCCATTAATGCTCTAGTGCTGTTTGGGTATATTCATACTCTAGTACTAGCTACAAGTTTCTGGTCTTGCATTGGAGATTGCATCTTAATAGAAATGAGAGTGTTGCAAGAAACATTAATAGAATTGTGATAACAGGCTGTCAGGTTGAGAAAAAATTGACTTTCTGCAATTTGAATTAGGGAAAACCTTTCTCCCAACAAAATTAAATTCAAGAGCATAGTAATACTTGGCATTACCTCTTCAGTCAGCACATGCAGGTTTGCACTGCTGTCGTGGAAACAGTGAACAGAATGGTCAGGTAGTTAATGCTTACCAGCAGACTTGTGCTTTTAAATGAAAACATTTCTCCAGCTGTAGTCTGAAATGATAAAATTACAAGATTCTTTTTTTACTTCTGTCCATGTAAAATGAGCGTACAACTCTGCTAGCATGCTTCTGTGCTCGTAGGTACTTTCTTACAATAGAGTCTTGAAATTCTTAGAAAGGTAGTTTGGGTTTTTTACTTGTCACAGGAGCAGATCATCTGGCATGTTTCTGAAGCATCTTTAAAACATCAAAGTATGTTTCATGTTTGCTAACGATCAGTCCCTATGTTAATTAAAAATAACCTGTGTTTATCCCCTTAGATCCCAACAATAATAGCTGATAATGCTGGCTATGACAGTGCTGATTTGGTTGCTCAGCTCAGAGCTGCTCATAGTGAAGGGAAGACTACTTATGGACTAGGTAAGGGGACCAGTTTTACTTCTGTGTTTGAACTGCTGTTTGGCCAGGTCCTCTAGGCTCATTAAGGTTGTTCATGTATGTCTGTCACGTATATTCAGCAGGGAGAACTGAGTATGTTGATTTGTTTGCTTTGTGTAGAACTTGGTGTACAGCACTACATTCCTTTTCTGTTTTACCAGGCTTTTGACAATAGAGTGAAAATCTTTGTTTCTTAAATGGATGGTTTTCACCTCTAAAACCACTTCCCTTACACTGAGTCTAGTTATAGGAAGCTTAAAAAGAAAAACATTGTTTTAAAATCAGCAACCAGCTAAAACAGAACCAGAAGAACCAAACATCCTTCCCTTGGCCCCTTTCCCCCCACCCCCCAGAAAAAACCCAACCGAGCAACAACCACAGAGTTGTGGAGAAGAGCCCTGAAGTTAATGTACCCAAGGACATAGTGCTAATGTCCTGTTGGGATCTTGTCTCCCCATCACAGTGTATAAAGTTTTTATCATCAAGTGTTTCTATGTAATTGCAACATTAGGTTTAAATCATGAGTCTTGAGGTAGAAGACTTGATTTATTTTCCTAACCATCAGTATAGTTCATTTGAGCAGGTGAGTTGCTATGCTCTCAGCTTCTTGTGATTTCCTTAAAAAGCTGCTGAGTTAAAAAAACAAAACCAAAAAACTACCTCTTGATTTATTTCTTCTTCCAGATATGAAGGAGGGTGTCATTGGGGACATGTCACTTTTGGGAGTAACAGAAAGTTTCCAGGTCAAGAGACAAGTTTTGCTGAGTGCAGCTGAAGCAGCAGAAATGATTCTTCGTGTAGATGACATCATTAAAGCAGCCCCAAGGTATGGTCAGTCACAGTGGTGTAGAGTAAACCTCCTTCTGTGGAAGAATTAGGGTGCAGAAAAGTCTTGGCCTACAAATGCTTTACTTGAAGGGGAACCTGACATGTGACATGCTGATGTTCATATTAGATAATTTTACTGCATTAGCAGTATCATCAGGCCTTTAGAGCCATCAGCAAACTTAAATTACTGTGCCTGAGTACTGCCTAGTTAATCTTAGGTCACCACGAAACATCTGCACAAGTGCCTGACCAAAATGTAAGGGATCATGCTTTCTTTTTTCTTTTGGCAAGAATTGTAGTGAAATGTCCAGCTGCTTCTGAGATAGAATCTGCAGCTAAAACATAAACATGTTTCTTAAAAGGTTTGAGAAGAATTGCACTCATAGGCAGACCTGCGGGCCTGCTACCAGGTAGTTTTCACTGCTTTTTGAATCAAAAGATTTTTTTTAGCGTGTCATGGGTGGTGTGTTAGCTTTGAGGTGGTACTGGTTTTTGTGCTGTGAGATAAAGCTGTCACTGAACACAAAATACTAACTAAAGATTAAAAATAGGAGTGGGTGAGGAGGGGCTGGTGGACATCAGCATGCTGGGAATTTTCTGATTTTTCTTTTTCTCCCCAGAAAACGTGTACCAGACCATCGCCCCTGTTAAATTTTCTTCAGTACCTGAGGATGTGTGGACCAGATCTCACCTAGTAATTTTTTTTAATGGTCTAGTTTTTGTGAGGTTATGGAACAGAAGCTTGAGACAAACAGATCTCCATCAATGGCACTGTCTTCAGTTGGTTTTTACTTACTGGAGCTTTTATGTGTTGTGTGGAAGAATTCACTTTCAGGGGTATATAAACAAGGAGTTTTATACAACCCTATTCATTCTGTTCCTTCCAGGTTCCACTTAAAATACACAGAAATAAAAAAAAAAAAAAATAAATAACTCAGATTCCCCAAAGTTGTATTCTTTCTGTAGAACCAGGAAGGGCAGATCCACGAGGAGAGCTGTGGTGCACATCCTCAGGCTCATCCTCACTTTGGGGAGTGACTAAGCCCTTGTGGCTCGCTGGATCGTGTTGACCTGCTGTGTTAGTATGAGATGTGTATTCCAGTCCTGGCTGCATAGGTTTTGAGTTGGGGTGCTAGAAATAGGCTCTGAAGTTAGGTGGTATCTTTTTCTAGTGATACTGGAATATTACTCTTTCTTTTTTTTTTCTTTTTTTTTTTTTTTTTTTTGATGATGGAAGAGAGAGTGGGCGAGGAACCTCAGTCAATGCCCAGAACTACAACTAAGTGATCTTACAGCCTTTTACACCACAAATTTTACATTTTGCTCAGGGGAGTTGAGAGGAATGTGCAGGTTGGGAGAGAGAACAACATTCTGGACCAAACAGTCTGAGTGTTGATCTGTAAAGTATTGGGCTGACTTTACAAACACTTATAATTGTGGACACTTAGAAGAAAATAGGCCAGGCTCCATAACATTCACTTCCTGCCCTCTCTGCCCCACCCCTTTCACATCTGTTGAATCCTGTCTTTATATTCACTTTCCTATTGTATTAGTTGCTGCGAAAGCAACATGTTTCTTGACTGGATGGGTATCTTTGTGCCTAGGTTGGAAGGAAGCCTGTGATGCCTGCAGCAGTCTGCATGCAGATCTGTGAGGACTAAGCACAGACAAGCAGGGGCCCTGTCTGTGGGAGCCCAGAACGGTGCCTGTCAGGCCTTGTGACCTTTTTTGCCCTTGCAAGTGTACAAACACCAGGACAAGTCTGCCAAAGCAGAATGATTAAGTTGAAGTAAGCAAGTATGTGTGCAAAGGTTTTTCCCCCTTAGACTTCTTAAAATGAAGGGAATCTGCTTACAGAATCCTCCCCTTAACTCTTGACAGAGACACTTCAGCTCTCCAGAAGTGCTGTATGGAGAGGGCTGAGTGAAACACAGACCATTGATAAGCCAGTGAAAGCATGCTCTTCTCCATCCGCTCAGATAAATACAGTACCAGCTCAGTTCTGTGGGATATAAAATACTGACCTCTGAGATTAAAATAGCACCCCTAACTCACATCCTGCTTTCATTTCTGTAGGAAGAAATTGTTGGAACAAGACTAGATAAAGAATTTGCTGTTAATTCCAAAGAAGCATTTTTTAACCTGGCAAGATGCTAGTATACTTTTATTTAATTTCACTAGGAGCACACTACATGAGTGCCAGCCAGATGCAAGTTTGGACTTCATTTTACAAGACAACAAGTGCTAGCAGAGTCTATATATTTCCAGATAATTTTTCAAGCATGTAGATGACATTAAACAGTCACGAACTGGCATGGAATCAAACCTTTTCTGGGAAGTCAACTGCTGCTTCTGGAGGCTGCGCTGGTGAGACAGTTCTACTTGAAGAGGGTGCCACCAGGGGCTTTCCACCCTCGTTAAACAACCTGCCACCTAATTCAACCATGCTATGGAGTCTAAAATGTCACTTTGAGCCAGATTTCTGTTACTCAATTAAAGCAAAGCTTAGGAAGAAAGTGCATTTTTAAGGGGATCTGTATTGGTCCAAGTTGCAAGCTTGAGAAATACCCAGCTGAAATAATCTGAGAAGTTTGCCTCATCAGGTTATTTGCAAGTTTATATTGACAGCTCACAGCCCTGGATTTTTTTCATGCAAGTTTACCTCTGCAGCTCTTGTGGCTTTTCCTTTTTAGTCAGGCTTTGATTTTCTTCTTTGCGTCTGCATGAAAGCTTGTCCTGTACAGCTGCCCTCAGAGGCAGTGTTGTCAGTAACAAAACCCAGCAGCAAAGCCTACAGCTTTCCTCACCATCATCTGGATGCTGCTTAGCAGTGATGAAACAGTTGTCACAAATTTTGCCGGAAGAAAGAGGAGAGCCCCCTGTACATATGTGCTGTTTCCTTGATAGTGCAGCTGGCAATCTGCTACAACTTCCCACTCAGCAGACAGGGAAACCTTCAAGGTATTGCTGCATTTCAGATAAAGTAATTTGAGACCAGTGCTGTGGGTTGCTTTGGAGCTGTGTGTCTCAGCAGTGATCACCTTGAGCAGTGGCTTCCAGCTGAGCTGGGACACCTCAGCAAGGTGGAAGGGAGAAGAGTGAGCCCACAGGTGAGGAGCAGCAAGTCCCTGTGTGCTCCATGCAAACCACCCATGGCAAACATCTAAACTGAGTCTTTGTTGAGAAATGTGTGTGGTCCCAGCATGGGAGGAGCGGGAGAGGGAAGAAGTCTGTTCTAGGGAGAGTGCTGGGTGCTGCACAGACAGGTGTCTGTACAAGAGTTTTGCTGTCACATTGTCTCCAAGCTGGTGCACGTACTCCTAATGATTGTCAGGTGGCGTGGTGCTCCCTGGACACCAGCAAGCACGGGAGAGGTAGAGGTTGGGCAGCAGTGGGAGAGTGCTGCCACCTTGGCCAAAAGGGGCAGCTGAGTGTCAGCAGGGCTCGGCTTCTGGCTCAGTCTTGGCGGCAGGAGGTAGCAATGGTTTCTCGTCAAGCGTGATTTCTATCACTGCCCCGGATCGCTTGCGGGGCTCGGGGCTCTCCTCTGACCATCTGCCCACCCTGCGCACCCCTTTGGCCACCTTGGGTGCATTCCTGCAGGGGTTGTGGTCGTAGATCACCAGCTTCAGGCCAGGAAGGTGAGCAAGGCTGGGGAAGAAGCGGATGGAATTGCGATCCACGTCGATCACCTCCAGGAAGGGCATGTCCAGGAGCACGGCAGGGAACTCGGACAGCAGGTTTCCTGACAGCCAGATGGTGCGCAGCTCCTGCAGGCACTGCAGCTGGGGAGGGAGGCTGCGCAGGGCGTTGGAGCCGGCATGCAGCGTCTTGAGCAGGCTGAGCTCGCACACCACCTCAGGCAGGTACTGCAGGCAGTTGGACTCGATCCAGAGGGTCTTCAGGTTCTGCAGGAGCCGGAGCTCCAGGGGCAGGCTGCAGAGCTTGTTGTTGCCCAGGTAGAGGATGCACAGCTGCTTCAGCGTGCACACAACTAGGGGCAGTGCTTTGAAGTTGTTGAAGTCCAGTGCCAAGATTTGCAGGTTTTGCAGCTGCTCCAGCTCGGGGGGCAGATGGTTCAGGTTGTTGTCACTCAGGTACAGCTTAACCAGTTCCCTGAAAGAGCAAATGTGCACAGGCAGCCGCCTCATCTGCCTGCCACTCAGATCGACCATTTTATCCACTGGCATCTCTTCTAGATCTTCTAGGAGGTACTTCTGGCACTTGCTAGAGGGCACAAAAGCAAGTATGGCTTTCAGACTGTTGCCCATCTCAGGATTTTGTTTTGGGATGGCTGGGACTGCAAGGGACAGGAGGCTGCCTTGGTCTCCTGCTGCACACTGGCCTGTTGGTAACTCGTTCTTCCCAATATAAGGCTCTGTTTACATGGTACCAGCCATTAATCTCAAGGGCTCTGAAATGCTTCTGATAACTGAATGAGTGTTTGGTGATGGGGATTATGGACAGGACGACTCAGGGCCCAGGGCTCCCTCTCTCACCCACACTCCTACTTGCTTGCCCTCCCCCTGAAAACATTCCTTCTTTCCTCCTCTTGCACACTGTAAATGTTCTTTGATTTTGCCCCATACAAAATTAGGGTCATGCCAATCCCCAGCCCCTCACTTCTTGCTGCAGCTGTGCTGTCAGTGTAGCCAATGCAGGCAGCAAGGATCGGCTTGGGAAAGTAAACACCACAGCAGACCAAAGTTTTAAGCTCAGATATTTAACTTCCATGAAACTTTCAGCAGAAATGTCAGATATAATCAAATTGTTGTTTAAAATACCTGTCAAGACATGACTGACTTTCAAAATGAGTGGCACTTTCAGGGATGTATTTTGAAAGGTGCCAAATACTTGGATTTCAGAGTGTAACTTGCCATCCAGTACTTATCTTAAAGCTTTAACACAAATACTTGGCAAACTGCTATCTTGAGCAGTTCTACTGTTTATGTTCCTAATTTAATGGTATTTATTATAGCCTCTGGCACTCTTGATTGTGTAGGACCTTTTTCATTACGTTTTTCTTCTTGTCTGTAGGGCCTTTTTAATTTCATTGTTTTACTCCTTGTCTGAATCCCAAGGTAATATGCTATCACAAATTGCCGAGGTTGTTCTCCCTCCCTCTTTCCAACTGTGCTGCTGCAGTTCCTGTGTCTGTACCAAAACCTGTCAAGAAACTCCCATGGATTCCATCAAGATTCTCACTTGTTATGAGTGAAATAAGTCTGATTTTGAAAAGTTACGGCTATTTAGATGTGACAGTGTAAACTGTTCTAGTCACATCATGATCCATTTTGCTAGTCAGTTCTAATTTCTAGGAGCATTCCTATGTATACAGGAACATCTGCATAGTTTGACATGTTGAGCTTCTGCTGTTCCAGGCTTTCCTGGAATATGGGGACTCATATTTGTCCCTGCCCATGTCAGGGAGGTTGGAACTACATGATCTTTAAGATTCCTTCCAACCCAACCCTTTCTGTGGTTGTCCTGCCTCTGTGTTGGCCATAGCTCTACCATGAACTTGGGATGTGAAAGTTGGCAGAGTGTTTTAAGGTAAAATAGCCTTTTTTAAAAAAAAAAAACCTGGCTTTTTGCTTTGATATCTACAGCTCATTGCTGTTATTTTCCACACTTACTGTAATTTAGGGAGAATACTTTCTTTGAACAATCTGCAATTAGTTTTGGGGTATTAGGTGCTATACTACCAAAATCCATGACTGCTGAGAGCCACGCACCCTTGAAAGACAAAAGGCAGAACAAACAATATTGAGGAAAAGGCACCACTTAAGGTGGCCTCTGGATTTCTTGGTCAAATCTAGTTATATAGACTCTCTACTACCACTTGCTTTCAAATGTAAAGCAGCCCTTAGCTATCAACTGAGTATAGGCTACAGGCTGTTTATGAGTCTTTTCCCCACAAGATGAGTGGCTGTGCCATGCAGCAGTGATGCTATAAAGTGTACGGAGGAGAACAATAGAGAGGACACCTGGGAAAGAGTATTGCAGCAGGATGGAGAGCAGTGAGTGCTGAGACCTGAGTGCCACAAAATAAGTTTTGGATAGAGAAGCTGGGCAGAGTATCAAGCCTGGAGAACAAAGACAATGTCACAGTAACCTGTAGTGGTGCTGTGGAATAGAGGGCCTGAAAGTTCCCTCTCTGATGGTGGGACATGCTGTGCATGGCATCCCAGAAGCAAGAAGCCAACTTGCACTGTATGAGCATCTCCTTTTAGACACTTCTTTACTGCTTTGATACTCTGTCCCCTGTCAGAGGACCACGGTGGGGAATGTGTCAGCAGGTTGTTGTATTTGTTTTTAATTTCTAAACAGCCATGGCACCTTTTGAAGGCGAGGGTCCCTCCCCTTAAGGCACTGTAGACTACAGGCGTGGAAAACCAAATGCATTTGGCATAATTAATAATGAATATACATCCACAGCAAAGTCTTGTCTTTTAGACAAATTTTTTCAGATAACCTACTAATCATAACAACACAAGAGCATAGCTAAGAATATATTAATGGTACAGTTTAGGCATATTTTTTCTCAATAATCCATATGTAGACAAATAACTTAGCAAAGTACTTTACGTCTGAAGATACAGATAAGGATTTTTTTTTCTACTTGAATTATTTCTCCTTAATGGAACTTTTAAACTGCAGATAACTATTTCTTAGGGATCCTCTGCACTGTAGTTTAATGATTATTCCAGCTTATCAAAAAAGGTCACAATGACTTTTTGTTGCTGCATTTTGTACCTCTGTTAGCTAAATTAATGTCTGCTTGGAACACAGAGTGAGATCAGAGAATGTGGGAAAGAATAACCTCTGTGTGTGGATTAATGAAGGACTACACTTGCAGTAAAATGAACAGTCGCGTTCTTTCTGAGAATCAGCCACTCAGTGGAGGCACTAAGGCAAAGGCAGTCCTCACAGCAGACACAGGCGGTCTTTTGAAAGCTTCATGTCTTCAAAGTTACCATGGTGCTCTCCAACAGGAACATTATCGACTTCCCAGAAGCATTTGTAGCATTTGAGGAAAAGTTCAAGTGATAAAGGCACTCAGCACAGGCATTGTCTTGCTCTTGTCAAAGCGACACTGCCCTACCCAAGGGCACGACATCTGCTCTGCTGTGCATCAAGTGACAGGTGGGGGCTCCTTGAGAAATGCCTTTTCTTTCTAGATTTCCCAAATGGCTGCATCTTTGCTCACCATTCCCATTTCCAGCACCCAGATCTTGCAGCTCAGTGGCTGGGATGACTGTGGGACAGAACATGTGATCATTTGCTGATAACTTGAGTAAAACCTCTGAGTTCAGGAGAAATGGGGAATATTACTGAGAGACAGATAATTGAAAAAAAATAGAATAAAATAAAAATAAATTAAAAAGATGCATTTTTGAGATTCTATTATTTTATGAAACAAGATGTTATAATAGAGATGCTGGTGCTTTTTCAGATCCAAAGCTCTGCCTGCAGCTGATGACACCAGGCTCAGTTTTTGCTGTATTTTTTTAGCCCTTACAGTTTTGGAGGTATGTTGGAAAACGCAAACTGTATTTCAAAATCTGGGGGAACTAATAAATAGAGCTCTAAACTTATTGATTTAAGACTCTCATACCCCTCCTCAATCAGTCTGACATAGCAAGGGAAGTGACTTAAAGGAGCAATTTTTGTTTGCTTTGTATTTATTTGAACTCTGTGATGGGCATTTAAACCCCTTCTTGGCTCACAAATGCTGGGTGATTGGGTTTTTCTCCTGTTTTTTCTTGACATTCCTGCTGGAGCGAAGATGACGACTCCTGCCTCCTCCATGTCCTTTGACATTCGCTCCTGGCTGTGCTGTTGCACATCTGTTTTCTTTTGGGAGAATTCTTTAGTTCCAGTTCACCTTTGCATAGTGAGCAGTTTATTTTAAATACATGGTGTGTTGCAAGGCAAAAAAAAGTGGTGTCTCTTTTCCCAGCATCCTACCATAGCCTTTTGAACAAAAATGGCTGATTATTCAAAGTTAGCTTTAATATATGCTAGGCTGCAGTATGTGGTTGCTCTTTCTTGTGCAGAAGAAAGATTCAAAAGTCTTGTAAGTAAACTGCAGACTCAGTGCTCTGCTTCCTCCTGGGCAGCTGATGGGGGCTGTGCACTGCCAAATCAGCCTCTTTTTGACACCATTACTTCTCTGCAGGCTTGACTTGAACCCACATGCAGGGGTGGGAGCCACTAACCCCAGGAAACTTGCAGGAAAGTAAATCCAAGAGAGCTCTTCCAAATATCTTGCTGAAATGTGTGCAAAATTGTTGCTGGTTTTTACTATATGTTGCATTATTGTACTGTTGTGTTTTTTATTTTGAAGATCCATTTTATGGCATGACAGTCACATTTATGTTTAGACTGGAGCTCTCCCATAGATAGGGAATTAAATTTCATATGTTAGGGGGTGACTTGTCACAAGCCCACCAAAAGTCTCAGCCCTGCTGAAATGTCTCCATGCGAAAGGGAAATGGATATATATTATGTCCTCTCTCTCTGCATTGAACACTTCTGAGCAACATCTCACTAAAGCAAGCTTGAAAAGCAGCAAGTCCTTGGACAGCTTCCTCTTTCTCATTCTAGCAGGAGCCAAGCTCACCCCATATATCATATTTATGTGAAAGACATTAAGGGTTGTTAGTTAAATGTCTGTTTGGTCTAGACTGTGCCCTGGTTATCTGTGCCTGAGTAGCTCCATTGGACACCACTATTTGCACAAACCAGCGGTTAGTCTGAGAGTAAATGAATCCGTTTTCTGCCAAAGCACTGACCTCCTGCGATTGATTGACCTGGCGAGCGGCCCTCAGCTGACAACAGGTCATAAAAAAGGGACTTCTGAGCAAAGGAGTGTCATTAGACTCTGAACCTCTTGGAGCCATGAGGGCAATACTGTTGGCTGTGGTTTACATCCCGCTCATTGTGGCTGTGGAACGGTAAGAAAACTCGTCTGGCTTCACTGGCACACATCTCAGCTGGCTTCATGGGATGACCTGTGCTTGTTGCTACTTGAGGTCTCAAAAAAGAAACCTTTTAAAAAAAAATGGACTATATGACAGTTCTAGAAAGGACAATCAGGTTTTTTTTGTTTTGTTTTGTTTTGTTTTTTGCATAGAATCCCCTTGATTCGATTCAAATCTATCAAGAAACAGCTGAAGGAAAAGGGAGAATTAGAGGAATTTTGGAGGAATCACCACCCTGATGTATTTGCCCGGAGGTATCTGCATTGTTTCCCTGCAGATATTGCTTTATCAGTAGGAACTGCTTCAGAAAGGCTGTATGATTACATGAATGTAAGTACAGTTTTGGTAATGCAATCATTAGGACTCATTGTTCTAATGGAGGCAGGGTTTTTTTCCCAGCACATTTGAACAATGAAATTATAGGGCTTGTGGTGTCTTGTTGCTTTATGATATAAATACTAGATCATAAAAAACCAGGTTGCAATCTGCAAAATAAAGCATGTCTAGATCGAGGATAACACGGGACCTGAGTAGAAAGCTGACGTAGGGTAGCAGTGGTAGTCCTGTGACAAGTTTTACTTTTGTATAGATCTGTAGTGGACTCGGTTGGGTCCCCAAAGAAATATGGGAGGTTTGCCTGTACCAGTCTTGGCGAACTACAGGGTTTTTCACAGCAGAATCTGATTGCTTCATTTAGTCATGTTCTATTTACTGGATACTTGGATGCTTCTGTATTATAAAAAAATCCTCCAAATCTCATTTATTTGATCAGGTGGAGTCACAAATCAGTGATGATAAAGACTTAAGTGGAGTTTTTTATTTTTCTGTTTTTATCTCTGGAGTTTAATATGTATTAGGTATTAGAGACTGACCTGGGAGGATTTACCATCCAAACTGAAAAAGGAAAAAAATATTAATTTCTCTGGATCTCAGACAGGCAAGTCAGCAGGTCTACCATTTTGTAAGCCGTCTTTCCTGGTTTTAGAATTTTGTCCATTTGGATGGACTCTGTTTTCTGTTTTATTTGGTTTTTCTGCTATGCTTATCTGAAGGGAAACTAAGCTGCAGAAATGTTGTGAAGTCTTCACCTGAACAGGGAATGGAATCGAAGGGAAGGCCAAATTAATTCAGCAAGAACTTACTGACACTTGAGGGCCATAAAGAAATAAGTATGTGAAAAAGAACAAAGGACACTGAAACACTTCAACCTGCTCTAAAGCTTATTTCAAAGAGGGATAAATGAAAATCTCAAAACAACAAAGCAAAACCCACTTCCCCAGCATCTTCAGGTAGCACCAGGAATGGTTTTATTGCAGTGTGTACGTTTTTTGGTTTTGTTTCGTTTTTTTTTAATGAACTTCACTTAGGTTTGTTTAATGCAGGAAGAAATAGAATCCTACTGTATAGTTGGATATTCTCTTAAATGGAATGCTCTCTTGCCTTTTCAAGATTATCTCATTCAGACTGTCAGAAACGTCAGTTTATTAATTAACGAGTATGCACTTGAAGGTACATATTCAAATACTTGTATTGCTCAAAAAAGTTTGGCACTAGCTATTGCTTTTCTATCTGTGGTTGAATTCCAGGAATACCTCCTCCTAAAAATAGGTCTCTTAATGCTGAAGTGCTCTTCCAGGGCCAGATAGGAGCACTTAGACACTTGTATTCGGGATGTGGATAAGCACTTCACTCCAGCATTCACGTGTTCACAGATTATCTCAGTCTCAATTGGTATCCAGGGATGGCCAGTGGTTTCATCTGCTGGGTGAACTTTGTCCAGTACATCAGGAACAGTTTGTGCAACACAATACTTTTTGACTTGCTATAATAGCTGCTAATTACAAAGGAAAAAGGGCAGCCACATAAGACAGTGTTTGTGCCACTGGTCAGAGCCCTCTGAAGCTGGCAGAGGCAGGTTATCCTGACTTTGCAACACTGTTTTCTTATTGACATCAGCAAGGAACAGCCTGAAGGTCTGTGTGGGCATGTGTGAGTTTCATCTTGAGGATGACCTTGCCACCTCTGAAGCCAGTGCAAGAGGGATTGTTGACTCCATAGGGAACGTGTAAGAAATCGTGCCCGGCGGGCTGTTCGGGTCCAATCCGGCTAGCTATGGACTCCAGTCCACACGATCTTACACAGGACAAAAGGCAAAAGAAGAGAAGAGCTCTTCCCCACGTGGGGACAAAGTCCTAATTTTACTTCCCAGATAGGAGACACCAGATCGCCCAGGTGACTCCCCAGGTGGAAAAAAGAGGAGATTTTGAGCTGAGGGGAAGGGAGGCGGAGGAAGGGGACAACAGCTCATGGGATACCAGTGAGGAGGGGTGAGAGGAGGGACAAACCAGGGAGAGACCAGCACACTGACACTCAGGGGGAAAGGGGAAGACCGTGTGATGACAGGATACAAATCATGTGAACAGTGAAAATTACCAAACACCCAGTGCAAATAACTAAATAACTAAATGTAGTGCAATACAACAGGAACCCAACTGAACGTTTGCTTAAAAGGCTTTTAAAATGGCACACCGTTGTTCATTCAGCTGGAGCAAAGCCTGGTGCTTGAAGCCGCTGGTGGAACCAGACACGTTCCTGCGGCGCGCCTTCCCGCTCAAACGGAACGGCACGGAGCCGCTGAGGGGCTGTGGCGCGCTCCCAGTCAGGGCCGCTCCTCAGGGCGGGGCCGGCGGGAGGCCGCGCGGGGCTGAGCGCGCTGTTCCTCGCACAGGCGCAGTACTACGGCGTGGTGAGCGTGGGGACCCCGCCCCAGCGGTTCACCGTCGTCTTTGACACCGGCTCCTCCAACTTCTGGGTCCCGTCCGCGTACTGCATCAGCGAGGCCTGCAGTAAGAAATGTTCTTCTCCCGATGCTTCTCTTGTCTTGGGGCCAGAGAGCTTGCCCAGTTCTCCTTTCCCAAGAAGCTTGCGTGTAGCAGGGATCTGCAAGGGGAGGATTTGGAGCTTCCCTCAGGGCTGCTCTCCTCTCCCCAGTTTGCTCCTCTGTCCCTCATGTCACTCTGCAGCCAGGGCAGGCGCCGGCTGCACCTGCCCAGAGTCCCTCTGCACCTTGAGGTAAAAGGTGTGAAAATAGACCTGGGAGACATAACAACACAGCTGTAAATGCCCATTTCTGTTCTGTTTTTTTTTCTCTAAAATGCAAAATTATCTCTCAGGTACAGAAAAACTGTCTGCAGGTAAACTGAGGTTCCTGCAGTACTTCTTCACTTTTCTCTTGAGAGAAACAAAAATCTGGTTCTCCTACATCTCATCTTATTCTGCATTGGGGAGTGGGGGTTGCCAGGACCTCCCCTCAGTGTAGAGGTGTCATTTTTTTTTGTGTAGGGGTGCACCAGAAATTTAAGTCCTTCAAGTCAGATTCATATGAGCACGGAGGGGAAGCCTTCTCCCTGCAGTATGGCTCAGGACATCTCCTGGGCATTGCTGGCAAAGACACACTGCAGGTGAGTGTTCGCCTAAAATGGGTGTCAGCCTCCACATCAGCTGTTTGCAGGGCACTTCAGATACTGGCCTTGCCCTGGAAAACCTTGCCTGGTTTAGGCAAGGGCAAGGTGAGATCCCACCAGGCTGAGTGCTGAAAAGTGTGGGTTCTGCTCCAGCTTTGGGCTACCAACACAAATGCCTCACATTTTATTTTCATTTCTACTTGTCTTCTTGGATCCTCTTCTGGGCTTATGAAGAAGCAGCCACATAATTAAGGCATTCTAAGGAATCAGTGCTGCCTACCTGCCAAATGGGCATGTGCTGTGTTGATGCAAGTCACACAAAGATAGCCAGGCTTTATAAACTGAATGAATCCATTGATATGGATCAGAAACATGGCTAATTTCTTTTTATTGGTGGTGTCATTACTTTCAGTTGTGGTTGTTCTTTGCTTGGTTGTTTGTTGCCTTCTTTTTTTACCAAACAGATAAGTAACATCTCCATCAAGGGACAGGACTTCGGCGAGTCTGTGTTTGAGCCAGGAACAACTTTTGTCCTTGCCCACTTTGATGGTGTACTGGGCTTAGGCTACCCCTCCTTAGCAGTGGGCAATGCTCTGCCTGTGTTTGACAGCATCATGAACCAGAACCTGGTAGAGGAGCCAGTCTTCTCTTTCTATCTGAAAAGGTCTGTCTTTAAAATGACATTGCTGAAAAAGAAGTAAATATTTTTTTTTAACTGTTGATAGAAACAACTGTATGCATCTGTATAAAGCTTCAACCCTAGAAAAAAATTTCCCCCATTAAAAAATTTCTTTGTATTGTTTTTTTTTTTTGTTTTCAATTTGACATTGAAGATTATGACATGAAAAGAAAAAATGTTATGGGGAGCACCATGACTTTTTGGACAGAGATTTATTCTTGTTGGAGCTGGTCATAAATGAAAGTTCCCAGCTCAGACTCACCATGTCAGTTGCCAGAGGTTTCCCTCTGGCTCATGTAGATGAGCAGAAGTGATGTGCTACACCCAAATAGCCACATTTCAGAAAAATACTGTTCCCTAGTCTGGACCCAGCTGCAATTCCACCTATTTCTTTACTGTTTCCTCTGAGATGAGAGTAGCAGCTGGCTCAGCCTGCTCCCCATGCCTACCTTGGTGTCAACATTAAGTCTTCTCAGAGATTGTTTGGAGGGTCTAGGTTGGAACACATACAGTGATAATTTAGTAATAATCCCTTTCAGCCATCCATATCTGAATTTAGAAAGGGCCTAAATCCTGTGATTTGACTTTTGCTTTTTAAGTGTAACCTCATTGGTGCATACTGGCACACTCCCATGTCTGTGTTAACCTGTTTTCTGCTTTCAGAGGAGACGACACTGAGAATGGTGGTGAGTTGATTCTGGGGGGAATAGACCACTCTCTCTACAAAGGTTCAATCCACTGGGTCCCAGTCACTGAGAAAAGCTACTGGCAAATACACATGAACAAGTATGTATGTATGTATGTATAAAAAACTGGTGAAATTCACCTCTCTAGCTAAGCCCCCAGAGACAGGAACACCTGGTGACACAGGTGCAGGAGGGCTCAGCTGCAGTGTTCTAGCCCCGTGCCCCTCAAAGAGGGGTTCACCAGGATGAGATTGGGGTTTGTTAGTTCTCTAAATCTGCTGTGATGTGGGTAGCTGGTATCTGGGAGAGCATGTTAGTATGACATATCATACTTTAATATCATACACCCGTGGTCTAGATGGGTCTTGGTGGACTGTTCAGTTAAGAGGTTAAGGCACCCAGGAAGAGAATCCAGCTCTGGATCCTGCTTTCATCTGCCCTGCTAACTTTGGTCAAAGTAGCCAGTGTTCCTTTGTCCCACCTCTAGCACACTGCCTAAATTGATGAGACCACATACCTGGGGGTGAGGACAAATTCATCAGCAGGAAGCACATGATTAGAGTTGTAGGAGTCTCGAGAGAGAAAAGTGGGTCCACAGACATTCCTTTCTTTAGCAAAGCCTGGCTAGTTTTAATCTATTAAGTTTTAATCTACTAAGTTTTAATCTAAGCTAGTTTTGATCATAGAAACACAGAATCATTAGGGTTGGAAAAGATCTTTAAGATCATTGAGTACAACTGCCAACCCAGCACCACTACCAAGTACATCACTAAACCATGTCCTCCAGAGCCCCATTCACACCTTTTGAACACTCTCAAGGATGGTGACCCTACCACTTCCCTGAGCAGCCTGTTCCAATGCTTTGCAATGCTTTCTGTGAAGAAATGTTTCCTAATGTCCAGTCTAAATCTACCCTGGTGCAACCTGAGGCCTTTTCCTCTTGTCCTGTCACTTGTTGTCTGGGATGAACTTCAGTCATTACTCTGGTACTTTAGCTAGCAATAATGCAGTGTTTTGGTCACAGTGTATATGCCATTTGCTTAAAGCTGCTTTTTCTTTTTTCATTTGCAGCATAAAGATCCAGGGCCGGGTGGCATTTTGCTCCCACGGCTGCGAGGCCATCGTTGACTCAGGCACTTCTCTTATCACCGGCCCCTCTTCACAAATCAGGCGATTGCAGGCATATATTGGGGCAAGTCCATCAGATACTGGAGAGGTAAAAACTGTGCAGCCAGAAAACAGCTAGAGAGGAAGAGAAACTGGGATATGGTGCAAAGAGTTGGAAAATAACAGGAATGATGGCTTAGACAGGTGTCAGAGAAAGACTTATTTCCTGAGATCTGAGCCAAGCTGCTTTTGACCTATATGCCTTGTCCCAGTCCTTTTCCCAAATTTCACTTCATCTTCTGTACTGGTGTGTAAAGAAGCAATGGGAACATCTGTTTGAGGAATTGATCTGTACTTTGCGTGAGAGATAATTTTCTTTTGGAAGCTCCGAGGATTTTTGAGGTCCCTAACTCTAGATATTGGCTCTGCCAAGCCAGGAGGGATTTGGTGCTGATGGCCAGCCATGTCAGCATCAGATGGAAAGGGAATGGTATTTTAATGACAGCTCCATAGTGGCTTCACTGACAGGGCCTCTCACTGTCAGCTTGCTGTGGAGCAGTTGGTGACATGCCAGAGTTCCTGGGAAGGATGCACATCAGTGTCACTCACAATGCTGGCTCCTTCCAGGGTACAGGACAAGGCTTGCTGGCTCTTACTCTTCCTCCTGAACCTTACTCCACTGACCCTTTGCTGGTTTTTCTTTCTTCCCTGCTGCTGTCTTCTGCATCTCCCTTGCTCACCACTCCTTCCTGTCCTGCCTCCAGGGAAAGAGCAGTTTATTTTACCATGCCTATTGCTGACCCTTGGCTCACTCCCACAGGGCACCAGCACACTGCCACAGCTCCAGTGCTCAAGCAAAGCTGAGCTTTTGTTAACTTTGTTAACAAGCCGTGTGTGGCTTTTGTTAACTTTGCATTTCACAGAATATTCTGAATTGGAAGGGACCCACAAGGATCATCAAGTCCAACTCTCAGGCGAATGGCCTGTACAGGGATCAAACCTTGGTGTTCTTAGCACCATGTTCTAACCAACTGAGCTGATCTCAGTTTGTCTTGATCCTGACCCAAAGCTACTCTTGGAAGAAAATTAATAGTATTGCAGGTGCCCAGTGCCCTGGACAAAGAGCAAAGACAAAAGTGGACTCTTAATTCACTTTCATTTGTAGGAGGAGGACTGGCAGTGACCTCTGTGTAACTCCTGAGGCTCCTGATTCTTTCTCAGTCAAACCTTTAGTCTTGATTTTGTTCAAATTTTTAGATGCATGCCGAAGAGTATGCTCTCATAACAAGTTGATTTTATAATGGTTCATGCTAATGTACATAGATAAAATACATATTTCCAATGTACTTATACCAGCCTAACACAAACAAGGAATGGGTCATTTCTGTGTAGGTTCATATATACACCAGTGCTGATCTAAGAACATTCATCTGGCATCTCAGATTTCACAAAAAAGCATCCTGAAAATGAGAGTTTCTGTGACTGATTTTTAGCAATCATAGACAGACTGCACATATTGATTCAAATTTATCCCAGTAAAAGTGAGTGTATCCATCCTGGGTTTTACCTCTTTTTATCTCTTTTCAGTGCAAGGATTGATTTGTTCTGGATGTACTATTCTGTAATAGCTATGTAAAAGAGTTATGTCTTGCTTCTTGAATCCTACAAATCATTTTACTGGCTTTTTGTACCCTTGTCCCATGATTTGTTTTGTTCTAATGGTATGACAGTTGGTAAGTGCACACAAGATGTAGGGTTATGTTTTCATAAAATAGATTGAAAAACAGCAAAAAGCAGATTTTTCCTTGTAGGAAGCCTCTAAAAAATGACTTAAAACACTACAGTTTACAGCAAAGGTTCCTCTGGGACTTGGAGCATTCTGCAGTTCCATTTCCCACACCAGTTGTTTCATGAAATAACTAGAAAGGCCAGGAAATTATCTTCTCCATTACTGTAACTGAATATATTATTTAGGTACAATAATGACCATTCCAGAGTTTAGTCCTTCTACTAAACTCTTTAAATCCCACTTCAGGGCAAAGTATAAGCATAAAGTGCTGTGCTCCTCACTAGCTTTTTTTTTCCCCTGAAATGATGGTATTATGGGAGGACCTGGGGTGAGCTGCACCCATAGGCTGCTCCATCTGTGGCTGGAGCAGCTCCCTCTGCCCTGTCAAGGCCAGAGCTTTGGAGAACTTTTGCTCAGCAGACCTTGCTGATGTAGGCTGGCTGGGGCTCACATGCTTAGTTTTGCCTTTGAGTCACACAGGGAGGATATCAGAGCCCCTTCACCTCCTTTATTTTGGGACTTGCAAGGATTTTCATCAGCCCAGGGTCCCTGGGGTGCAGTGGTCTGGGCTGCTAGGCTGGTTTGACTGAGTACAGGAAAGCTGGAGGGCACTGTTAGGCTGTAAGCCAGCCTGATGCTGTTTCTCTGTAGTAAATTCACTATTACCTACTCCAAAAGCCTTGAATTCCAAGAGCAGTACTTGCAGAAAGACAAAGCGATCCCACCTCAGTCAGTGCATTGTTTCCAGTTTCTCGTAGACTGCAGAAGACTGTCGAGCTTGCCTCACATTAGCTTCACGATCGGACACCGCGAATACAAGCTGGCAGCAGAGCACTACATCATAAAGGTGTGCGTCTGCAGCTTCCCTGCTCCTCACTCCCCGGGCTGGGGATGGAGCAGGCTGCTGCAGGCACATGTGCTTTCCCTTCCAGGAGTCTATTGATGACCAAACCTTCTGCATGAGCGGCTTTCAGTCTCTCGACATCCCCACTCGCACGGGCTCGCTCTGGATTTTAGGAGATGTCTTCATGTCTGCATTTTACTGTATTTTTGACCGTGGGAATGACAGAGTGGGATTTGCAAAAGCTGTTCACAGAAAGGATTACTACTGAGCTGTAATAGGATTTATTCTGTCTTAAGTTAATGTAATGATCTTCAACACATGTGTGAAGAAGACCTTTTACTGCAACTCTGGACCTAAATGACATTGTGTTGTTCCTCTCTAAGTTTTAAGGACTTTGCAGTGATCCTTGTCCCAGATGATATAGTTTGGTTAAATATTTATATGTTTACATTGGTGAAACAATTTTTCCTGAATAGTTCATGGACACTGCAGCTCTCAGGATAAAGCAGCAGAGCAGCTCAGCACTCAGATTTGCAAAAGATCAGGAAGAATAAAAATGCTCAACTGCGCCAGGCTGAAAAGATAGCAGTTGTGTGTGGGGAAAACTAATCCTAATCATGCCTGTCTGGCTATCTTTTTTTCTTCTTGTGTGCTTGTTTCCTACAGTTTTTATCATGCCTGGTCTGGCTATCTTTTTTTCTTCTTGTGTGCTTGTTTCCACCTCATTTCCTACAGTTTTCCTTTCCATCATTATTTTCCATGGTTTGGGTTTTGTTAAACTTTGTTTCCTGAGTGCCATGGAAATTCTCTTTAAATTAGCTTGCTCCAACCAGCTTATATAAAAGGGAATTTGACTGATGCCTGTGTGGCCACTAATTTCACCTACTGTTCCTTGCACCACCTCTCAAACTTGCTTTTTCCCTGGGATTCATTATACCTTGGTAATTCTCCTTTTTTGGGTCTCGGCATTTGACGTCCGTGCCTTAGGTCAGATGCTGCCTTTAGTGCCTGACTCCTCTCCCCCTCGGCAGTGTGAGCAGCTGGAGCAGCATCCATTCACATTAGAAACCCAGACTGCAGCCCATGCAGTGTTCCTCCACCTCAGATGAGTTGTGGGACCCATGCACCAGCGCTACACATCTGCTGCCCCTTGCTCAGCCACTTGTCAGCAGTGGCAGGAGTTTCAGATGAAACAGCCACAGGTAGCTGTGCTGATTTGGCAAAAGATTCACCGAAATTCTACCCATTGGGTTTGTTTGGATTGCTAAAGCTGATACTACCCCCCCTACACATGAATAAAACTTAACCAAACAAAAGATGGTTTATCTTAGTGCTGTTTCTGTTACATTTTATGTTTCTTTGCAGTGCTGGGAGGAAGGGGAGTTGAGGGTGGAACAACAATTGAAAATTCAGGTTGCTCTTTGTCCTGGAGGAAAAAAAAATGTGTTGGTGTGTTGGGGCTGCTTGTATCTTCCTAAAGCCTGCAAATGTCTGCAGTCCCAGCCATGTGCGCTGGGCACCTCCCCAGCAGGGCAGAGCCATGGGCAGATGGAGACAGGCCCCATGGTGGCATTGCTGGACAGAGGTTGGTGGCTCCCAGGCACTTGCTACTGCTGTCTGGATGTGCCTGGCACAGACCAAAGGCAATATCCATTGCTGGCCTTGGTGGTATCACAATCACAGCCCCTTAGATTTTAAGTTTTCAGTTGCAAGACTCAATAAGTATTACAAAAACAGAATGGTTTTCCTGTAGGTATCTCTAAATACTGATCTTGCCTTCCAATATGAAATAATCTTTGTCCCTGGTGCCTGTTTCCATGACTCTCTATTTGCAGCCACATTGTGTTACACATTTGGCATCCAGGCTATCAACCTCTAGCAAAAGAGACTCTGCTGCCAGCTGTCTCTTTCTGCAGACTGAGCTGTGTGAAGTTACCCTGTATTTCAGGTCAATCTTGCCTTGATTCCCCTTTGTTCCTGTCACTTTTAAAGAATGGATTGACCATGAGCTAACTTATTTGTCTAGAAAATGTCATTTGTTTGATCATGAGCCAAGACAAACAAACATCTATAAAGTCCCGTTCCTCATTTAACAGCAGCAGGGTATTTTTGTTTTCTCTACTATGCAGCATACTTAACACTCTGGTATATTTTCATTATATGTACAATATGTATATGTTCCTCAAATGTGAGTTTGCAGTCAGAGATCTGTTATTTACAACAGAAGATTTTAAGGGTAGTGGGACATGTCCCCACAGCCAGTCAGTCCCAGCACTGACATCCTGGCTCTACGAATTCCAGCACAGAGTGGAAACACATCCTAGAAACAGGTGGAAAGTCAGGCAGCATGCACAGGGACTAACCCTCTCTTTGTTCTGATATATCTGATCTTGCTCAAGATTAACACCATCTGATGGGAGCAAACTGCTGCTCTGACCTACTTGTCTATCCTGGCCCTGTTCTATCCTTGTCCAACTTTGCCAGCTTCTGTAAGTGCCTTGCTGTTCCTGGTAGACATCAAATTGATTTGCATGATAGGTCAAACCCTTGCCAGAGTGCTTCTTGAGAGTTCAGTAAAACCAGGAGGATGGTGTGTCTCAAAGTGCCTTTATTCATGCAATAATTCAACATTGCTTATACCTGTGAACATGAATTGTGGATTGTTGGATTTGCTAAAATACTCCATTTACCATGCTAAGGCAAATAGTTTACTGAGAGAAGTGTGCAAGAAAGCATATAATCTCAAAAGATAATTTAATACAGATCAGAGTACACTGATGTTTGCCAAAGTGAGATAACAGACTGAATGACAAGAGGAAATTTTTCTGGTAACTCACACCAGCACTAACTTCTTTAGAAGCAATGAACTGTAGCTAACCTGGAGCTGGCCCACTGTGTGAAATGCTGGTTGTGTATTGCAGATTGCATTGCGTGACTTCAGAGCTGTAATTCCTAATTTAGCATGCATCTACATGTGTAATAGACACCTCTGTGGGGCTTAACTGAAGCTCTTACCTGCCTAATGGCTTCTGTGTGGCCACCCTGAGCCTCCATCAAATAATGAATGTTGCAGGGCCAGGGAGCGCTGGCAGAGCGAGTGGGAGAGGTAGCAAAATTATTGCTGATTGGATGTATAATGTTCTAGTGGAAAGCAGCAGTGTGCATCCTGGGCAGCAGCCAGGCTGAGAAGAGGAGCAGGGCTCAATGATGAGAAGCTGGGAAGGCTTTTCACTCTTAGCAGTGCAGGGATGAAACAATGACGAAACAGTGCAGGGATGGGTTGGGGACAAAGAGCATTTTGGTCCAATACCTTAAGCCCTGGCGGAAGCTGTGTGAAGGATTAGAGGGAGCAGGTATGGTGGGACAGGACTCCCAGTGCAGATTTGTGGTGGACACTTGAGAGTCATCTCTAATTTCTGGCTCAAGTTCCCTTACAGCGTGAAGCGCAGCTCCTCAAGCTGATGTACTGTAAGGAGAGAGGTAGATCATGGGCCAGGCTGCCTTCACAGCTGCTGAAAACCCTTCCTATACATGCCTGCCTGGGAGAAGTATGGCCAAACTCCCCAGAAACTTGTACTGCTCTCCTGACAAAAGTGCAGCAGTTACTTTTACTTTGTTTCTAGCTGTGTGACTGGAGCTGTCTGGCTGTCCTTAAAATGTATTTGTACTTAAAATTAGCCATTTATTTAAGTTAAGCACGTTGGTAAATCAAGTTCCTTGACAGTTGCAAATGCAATTAGATTGAGAAACATTGAATTGAAAAGTGTGGCTTCAGCTACAAGATAGAAGGAATCAGGAGGAAAAAGGGAATGCTTCCAGAAGTTGCAAAAGGGCCATTCAGAAAATTGGACTGCTAGGCTAAGACGCTGTTTATTTCTGTGTAATTTCACTCTGCTGAGCTTTTCATTTTGTTGGTCAAACCTAAACATAGCAACCTGAATTGCCTGAAGACCTTGTGGAGTGGCAAGTGTGAGGTTGCACCAGTAAGCCTGACTCCAAACTGTGATCAAATTTCAATAAGCTGCTGTCAGACACCAGTGTCACCTCATCTCATGGTGTGAAGAAGTCCTTCCATAGGTGCCTGGCAAATCTGTGCTTGGCTTTCCTGCATAACTGGAATTCACATAATATGAGTTTAAACAGTGCTTCCTTGGACCAAGTGTCCTCTGCTTCCTAAACTGATGGGATACACATGTTGTTGTCTAGTGTCTTTGGAGGGTTTGAAAGCGTGGCGCTGCTCAGACCGTGCCAATATACAGCAGCAGGAGCCAATTTCGAGGCTGAAATAAAGCTGGAAGAAGTACAAGTGGGGAGGGCAGTTGATTTTTGTTCAAAGCCTACCCAGATGAGATAGGGTCCTGCTGTATGTGACACCAGTTAGAAGGGCTCCTCGCCTAAGTGGCCGTAGGAGCAGGAGCAGACAGGTCTGTTCATTCCCTTTCCAGGTTCAGGAAGTCCTAAAGTCTCCCAGGAGCCACTGGTGTTACCACTTACCATGGCAGAGAGGCTGGTTTGTTTTTTGAAGTGCAACCTTCTGAGCAAGAGAGCTGGGTGGATTTTCTGTCCATGCAGTCCATACTGCCTTTGCTGGTTGTTGCAGACTCTTAACTTTTGGTCCCCCCCTCTCTGTTCTTTCAGTCCCTAAGCTACCTTGTCTCTCCCTTGTCTGTCCTCTACTCACTGATGTGAGAATGCTGGCAACATGCTGCAGACTGCACTTTTGTAAACATGGGTGAGAGCTAAACCCAAGGAGATGTGGCTGCTTTCCTGGCCTACTTTGAGGCTTCTTTTGCAGGAGTGATAGCTGAAAGTCCAGGTCACTATCAGCAGGTTTAGGGAGGTGGCTTGGTCATCCCTGGGGCAGCAGGAGCCACCTAATGCTGACTCAGGTTTGGGTTAATTAAGAATGTGCGTGGTACATCTGGTTAGCATGGGAATGGGGGAGAGGTTTAGGAAGTGGAGACCAGTTTTGGTAGGAGTCATGGGTCACTTTGTTGTTTGCCTGGGATGCCTACAGCCTGTGCACTTCCAGCTGAAGATCTCCACAAGAGTGGAGCCCTAGGCTTAGTTGCACCTGCAGCTCCATCACCTCTTGAGAGAGTGCTGCAGCCCTGTCATCCCTAGGGAAGCCACCTGGGAGCCTCATTTTACAATAAACTGTCACTGGGTATGCCACATATGTGCTCCAAGGCTCAGACATCCCATGCCCAGCTCATCAGCTATTTTGCACCTATCTTTAGTTAAAATGATATTAAACATTTAATACTTTTATTTATTCTACTCTTTAGTGGCATAGCTTCATCAGGAGTGGGGCAGGATTCTGTCCTACACAAATGTGGGGCCTGATTTTTCAAGTGTTCCTCCAGACAGTGAGAGATGATGGGCTGAATCTCTCCAGACAGAGAAAGGACCGGACCTTCATCTTGTCTTTGAGCCACTTGAGTAGAAACCAAAACTGTTGGTAGATCTTACAGGGATGTCATGGACCTTAAGCTGATGGAGCAGACAAAGGCGGCAGCAGAGTTCAGTGTATATTCAAAGTAGACAGAACCACACCCACTCTTCTGATAACCTTAGTGTTCCTCTAGTTTTGCCTACACAGCTCACTGCCGTATACATCCTGAGGCTCCCAGTACTCCCTGTAAGTGTGTTTCCCACAGGGTCA